TATTAAAAAGTGAATAACGAACAGAAAATTCTTTTTTTTTTTACTTTAAAACGCATAAATATGGAAGTCATGTTAAAAATTACTTATACTTTTTTACATTTTAAAGACTTTATATAATTTAAATAACCATTAAAATCCTTTGCAATTTAGTATAATATTTATATTTTATTCATATGCAGTTTTAATTTAAATTATTTTAAGCCGCAGCTTTTTTTTAATAAAATATTTAACAAAATAAAGAACTGAATGCAAGTTAAAATAAAAAAGGCAGGTTATTAAGAAAACTAAAAATAATGTAAAATAGTTAGTATACATTTTGTATAAAAAGGAGAACCAATCGATCCTTATTCTCATGTTTTGGTTGAGTAAAAGCTGGGGTTTCCAACCTCTGAACCCTTGTAATAGGCTCACTAAAAAGGGCAATAAACAGCGACCGATTTGGCCATATACCACCGAAAACAAGGCTGTAACGACAACTGCAACGAGCCAAACTTATAATTTATAAGCTGGTTTCCCTGTGCCAAGCGCAAAACACCTGCACAGGTCGGCTCTCGCCATCTCCTTTTTACCTTTGGATTTGCCGTCCCGTTCTCGTTCTGTGTTGCGCATGCGCAGCCGAGTACTTCTACTTTTTCTGCCTTCGCTTGGTGGCTCTTATTTAGCTGGCCTGTGTTTTTTTTTTTTTTTTTGCATGAAATAAAATCTCACGGTTCAGATGCGTACAGAGTTGGCAAAAAAAAAAAAGAAAAAGCAAAGGCAAAGAGCGAGAGGGGGAGCAGGTGGTAGGAAGTCTGGGCAAAAACAAAACAAAAAACAAAAAACACAAAACCAGCCATACTATAAGTCGGTCGCAGAGGGGAGACATGCATGTGGGTTTGTTTTTGCAAGCAAGACGTAAAACTCACCGCCAGTAAAGAGCCAAAACTGGTTTCTGCAAGCTCAGCGAGACTGCCAACAATAGAACAGAAAATTTGAATAAACACCGCTGCATCGCCAAAAGTTGTTGTCCTTTTTAATGAGGCAATCCGTGCCCGACTCCGAATCCGTATCCGTATCTCTATCTGTGTATCTGTACTTCATTCATATTTCGAGATGCTTAATGGGCCCATTGGATGGCTGCTCTACCTGGCGCAGGTAACCCAACAGGTAGAAAAGGTCTATGGCTGTGTGTGTTTGCACTGCTCATGGGAAATCACGTTGGCCGGGAAACCTGTTGTTGTTCCCTTTAACCAGAGTGAAGGCGAAAAAGAAGAATCTGAAGCTGTAGCTGTAGCTGTAGCTGTAGCTGAACAGATGCACGATAAGCGTAGGGATCGAGAGATACAGATAGCACTCACTTCCTCCCCGGCAACTTCTTGCTGAATGAATCGAATCCCTTTTATCAATCTTTGTCTGAGGCCCCCTTTGTCCCGCACCCATGAATGATGCCTCCGAGCCCAGCACCTTGCTATTTCGGTATCTGCTGCATTGCTATCGCAGATACAAATATTAGTGTCTCATGCTGATACGTAGAACTCGGCACAGTTATGGTTCAGTTAACTGAAATGCAGCCCAACTAGCCTACATTCATTTTCTGCAAAATACTTTTCGCTTATACATTTTATTAAATTTTATCAACTTAACATTGTTATCGCAGATACGTATTTCTTGGAACAGTTGTTTAAGAATGGTGTCGAATATTTCTGTAACAGCACTCATTTTTATGGCTTACATGGATTTTATTCTTCTAAACATCTTTTAGAAAACCATTATATAAAAATTGATACAACAATTTTGTACTCAATAAAAATTATAAGTTATTTATTAAGTTGTATGCAATGATTAAGATTCCAAGCTAAGTATATTTACACAATTTCTATTATGTTAGCAATATACTGCGTTAAAATAATCTATAATTGAAATAAAAACCTTTTAAGATTTTAAATCTTTTAAAATATATAATAGTTCTTTGTTTAATGTTTAATGTTCGACTCAAAGATTCCTTTCCTTGAACTACAATATTGTTTTCTGTATCTCAAAGTCCCCACAAAGTGCCACTTTTATGTGACATATTTCGGTTCCATTAAAATTGTTTAGAATATGCATATAGGTTTGTGTTTATTTAATATTTTCCAGTTCGCGGTTCGAATTACCGAAGCTCGACTGTGTGGTGCAAAACAGCTTACCTTTCATATCGCCATGATCCACATAGCCGGCATTGCTGACCGATGCGGTGGTGGTGGCTGCTAAAGAGCCGAGGATCAAGATCAGCACCGCCGACAGAGTGAAGCGGAAGCGGCTCCTCAATCCTCGCGATATCCTCATGATGATAATCCCAATTCCGGGACGGATTGCTTATTTTTCACCAACTGTACAAACACGCGAATCGCGGCAGATTTGTTTGTTTACTTCAAATTGCTTTTTGCAGGCGGCGGTGGGTGGATGCAGGGGGATTGTGGGTGGTGCCTAGTCAAGCGTGGCCGACGCTCCTCCTTGCCCCATCTCAAAAAGCCAGACTTTGGCCGCCGCGTAATAACGAATTTTCTACTTTACGTTTTGACCCGTTGTCTGCTACTTTTTGTATTCTCGAAATGAGCGTGCAAATTGTAATGTGGCAAAAACAGATAACGCGAATGATCGCGCGGGGGCGATTATAAAAAAGCTAAGGCCAGTGCGAAATAAAAACACTGGGCGATCACTTACACTCACTAGTACACACACACACACACTCTTGGCCGAAAAGCTTTGCTCTTGTTGTACAATAAAAACAACTGTGATTCCCTTTTATTCCCTTAGAATTACACTTAATTATTGATATTTTTGCATAGAATATCAGATTTTGATATTTTTTCTATAAGAAATCCATCATAGTTAGATGATTTTATTCACGTCGTTTTTTCGCATCAGATTCGGATGTTGTTTTATGACATTTTTTGATGTTTTTGAATATAAACCGACACACGGGCAGCGCGTTTTGTAAAATTTTTGAAAAATTTACAGAGTGGCTGTTGCGGGCTGCTTATATAGACTTTAATGATGTTGCAGCAACATGTTGCTAGACTGTAATGCAACAGCAATCGATGTTATCGCTTGTGGAGTAAATGGGTTGTTAACTATCGATTGCATTTGAAATTGACTGTTTTCCACTGCATTTCTTTTATATAACTATTATTGAAAATCGATGGCCTCTAACATATTTTAATTACGTTAACGTTAGCCCAATTCATAAAAAAAGGGTTTTTTTGGTTTCTTGGTAAGTATATTTTTAAAAATCTTCTGTGCATCAGAAGAAGTTACCGAGACACAAGCCGTGGTTGAAATCTCCGATCCCCAACGAGAACAGACACAAACCATTTCTTACATGGAAATAAAAACACGAAGGATTAAGAATATTAAAATTTTGGAGTGAAATAGAATTTGTATTTGACTTCCAAGCCAGCTTGCAACTTTTATATAAACATTGATTATACTGTATATGTATAGTGAATAATATCAATAATAACAACGGACAGGCCAATTTCTGGTATTATTTTCGTCGATCCTTGTTACTGATCTTGGTCGTCCGAAGTTCCGTACTAATTATACGTTCTAATTATATTTCCAGCTGAGTTAAGGTTTCCGTTTCTGGCCTACACCCAGAGAAACACCTCATAGTAAACTAAAAACATGATAATGTAATTATTAACATTTTAAATTGGTTTATCCAAAAGGAATATTGAAGATTTAAAAACTTAATTTTTAATATTAAAAAATTTAATAAGAATGAAAGTTTAACACACTTTGATTTAAGTCCAAAACCCCTCGGGGCTAAATCAGTACCGAAATTCAAAGCGAAAATATTTGGAATTGCCATGAATTTTTCTCTGGGTGTATGTATAGTGTTTTAGATTAAATTGAAAAATAGTTATTTTCATACTTCTTAAGGAGATTTAGGTAAGTTTTGTGAGCCCATGCAACGCTACCGATCTTGAAGAAGATCGAGGGACGTTTAGACCAAGTTGGCAGTTAAAGCTGGTTAATACTGGCTAAAATGAGGAAAATCAGAAAAATAATTTAGGCAACGATATGACACATAACTTCAACTCAAAGAATCCAATGTTAACAGAGTCAGTTTTACTACTTAAGTATATACATATAATGTCATATTATGCATAATAAAAGTTTTAATTTTATTACTCTAAGAAATTTATTAATTCCCAGAAAATCCAAAAGCTTTATTGCAAAAACGTGAACATATAAATACTACGAAATAATTTTGCAACGTGTTCAAGAAATAACAACGAGATAAGAAGATGTCTTCGGAAAGCACCTTTTAGCAATAGGAAAACTATTTTTTGATTAACAGAATTTATTCCCCTTATTGTCAAAATTGTATTTATATGATTTTCTTTAACAACCACAAAGATAAAGAAGTTTGCCCCGTTCGATGTAAAGGGATATTGTAATGAAACCGCTATAATTCAAAATATTTTCTTCTCAGAATTTTAGTCTTATAGAATCGTTACGTTATCTTGTTTAACTACATTTTGAATTAAATAACACTCAAAATTGTTGTATTGTTGAATCATCTTTTCATTAATATTTTGAAGTTTAACATGTTCAAGAAGTTTAAAATAGATTCACAAACTTGTATTTATAGTGGAGTGTGATGACTTATGGATACCTTGTACTCTGTTAATGGATTTCCAAATAAAAAAGCTCGGCAATTTGTAAAGGGAAAAACATTCATGACGGCACGATGACTGTAAGTTCTAAAATACTTGTTTGGCGTGAAAAAGTTTTGGTGTTGTCATCTTAACTTTTTATGCTGGATAACATACATAAGTTAGATCTAGCTCACAGAAATTAATATTTTTAAAAATAAAACAGTGAATGCTTATAAAAATCAAATAGACTAGAGTGTGACTTCGAAAACCGCGTTATCTGCGCTCTCGAGTCTAGAGTTTTTAATGTAGAATCTTTGCGCAGATTTGATGGGCCAAGAAACATTTAAATATCAATCCCCCGGCAAGCTGCTCACTTAGTCGTTACCGTAACATGAAGATCGTCATATGGGTAGTCGTGGCTCTATTTATTGCCACTGAAAAAGGATCGGCCAGCTTGCACGATAATGCTTGTGGAAAGCGTGACCCAATGGGTCCGAAGATTGCTGGAGGTCAAAATTCGGACATACGGACGCATCCGTGGATGGTTATGGTGATAAGTAATGAACCTTGTGGCGGCTCGCTTATTAATCCTCGTATGTATTAGGATTGATTACGTTATTTTCGCTTTCAGACAAAACAATTTTATTTTTTTGCAGGTTATGTTTTGACGGCAGCGCATTGCATATCCAGAAATTCTATGTATGTGCATTAATTATATTTTGTCACACATAATTAAATGAGTTTGTTTGCAGGAAGGTTCGCTTGGCCGCAGATGGCTTAGGTCCTAGCGTATCAAAGGCCTTTGAGGTTGAAGTCGATATGAAAATTATTCACGATAAATACTACAATGCCGGAAACACTGGGTACGACATTGGTCTTCTTCGAATGGCTCGTTCGCTGCAGTACACAGGTAATTAAATGTAGTACCAACGATAAGCTCTAAACTGAAACTTTTATTCTGTAGATTATGTCAGACCAATCTGCCTCCTCGTCGACGAGCAAGAGAAGCCCGTTCAAACATTTACTGTCACCGGCTGGGGTGAAAAACAATTTGGTATCCGGAGCCATGTCTTACAAGAAGCCACCCTAAACAACGCGGATCTTTGGAGATGCAGCTTTAAATTTAGGAACTCGTATGTTTTATCCGAAATATGTGCCGAAAGTACGAAGAGCGACGCATGTGGTGGAGATTCTGGTGGCCCTCTAAGTGCTCAGCAAAAATATGATGAAGAGGAACGGGTTTTCCAGTACGGTATTGTCAGCCATGGATCTCACCACTGTACTGGCTTAGGAATTTACACAAATGTTACGCATTTTATGAACTGGATTTTGAGTGCTGTTGAACTATATGGATTCGACGATGTCCAGGAGTGCACCCTTTATCATGTATAATTTTTTTTAAAACTTTCTTTTCCAAGTGAACACACATTTTTTCTACATTTTAATTTACATTTCATTTCACATTTTGGAATTTTCAAATAATAAAAATAACTGGTATCTCTTATCAGATAATGATTTCATTTTCTACCTTTTAGTTTTTGTATTATTTTTGTAACAAAAATATATATTAAAAAAAAAAAAAAACTGGGCATCAATGTATCTCGTTAATAAAACAATTGATTTGTTATGTACAGCAAGGGTATTTTCAATAATTTTCTTCCTTTTGGAAATAAAAAATAAAATTCCAATTGGTGCAATTCCCTCTAAAGCTGAGTAAAGCTCACCACACGAAAAAAAGGAAATAAATTTTGACCAAAATGTAATCAAAATATTGTTGCACATTTTAAATAAACGTTTGCCCTTAAAGCTGTAGGCCAATGACCTACATATTTAATCAGCAGCGATATCAATAGTTTGATCTTTTAAAACTTAATTGTTAATTGGTGGAAATTAACTAAAAATAAATGTAAAGCAATGAACAGTATGTTCTGGTTATGTTGGTACTTAAACATTAATGCAACTACTTCTTTGGCTCTGTTCGGTACATAAACGTTTAGCTGGCTGAGAGTAGTTTATGATTTTTTTCGAAGTCAATTTGTAGAAATTGCCCGTCACAAAGTGATAGCTCAGGAATATTTCGGGAAATAGCTCTTGCCGATAAGACGACTAGAACTGCGACCGCCTCAAAAGCAAGGCTACCTTAATCGCAAGCACCCTGAGTTCGGTCTCAATTCCACTTTTACACTCTAAGCTTTCTTATTATATAAGCATGTATATCGTGAAGAATAGAGACAATTATCCATTCAATCTGTAACTTATCTGACGTTATTCCTCGCACCCTAAATAGTCCCGAAGTCACTTACAAAGTCACGGCAAAAACAAGCAGGATAATCTCGTCGCCACATAATTAGATCCTTAATTTATTGTTTCCTTGGGTACCTTTCGTCGGAGCATAATCATTGTGTTAATCAATTTAAACAATATAATTGCTTTTATCGCTACCAACTCACAACTTATATATGAAATAAATTTGTTTATAACAAACACTTAAATTTTAATAATACAAAACCTTAATTAAATAAATGTTTTATTATCAGCTTATCTGTCTTTATATGTATATAAATAAACCACGCGAAAAGTTCATTATTCAGTCTTTGCAACATCATGATGGTGGTCACAGCGGGAATAGCGGCTCTAGCCTGTCTATTTCTTTCTACTACAGAAGGATCGGGGCGCTTATTTGAAACCAATTGTGGGACAATAAAGGACTCTAGCATGGGGCCAAAGATCGAAAATGGCCGAAATGCTAATAAATTCTCAAATCCGTGGATGGTTGCGGTGTTCGTGGACAATGTGTATAAGTGTGGCGGCACCCTCATCAACTCTCGTATGTATAGAAATTTGATGATTATTTTATTATATGGTGAAGACGATATGTTCCTTATCTTTCGCAGGTTTTGTTTTGACGGCATCGCATTGCATTGATATGAATTATATGTACGTACACGCAAAACTTTATTTAATAAACAGAAATTCCAGAATCTCTTTTCGCAGGAAGGTACGATTGGGCGAACATAACATGAATAATACCGAATGCGAGTGCGTGGGTTCGATTTGCACACCACGGGCCATCGATATAGATGTCGATAAAAAAATTATGCATAGGGATTATGACGTCAACACAAATGACATTGCTCTACTTCGCATGAAAAATGAGGTGACATTCACAGGTAATTAAGACGCTATAAACAATATGAACACTCGGGACTAAACATAATATCCTTAGACAAAATAAGACCGATTTGCCTCCTCGATAAATATCCAGAGGAACCCATTGCACATTTTAAAATTACCGGTTGGGGTAAAAATGGAATGGGCGAGACACAACCCATCCTACAGGAAGCCACCGTAGAAATCTATGAACGTAAGAGGTGCGAAAGGAAATTGAGCATGGATCACCTTGATGTGTCAAGAATATGTGCCGGTGATACCGGCAAATTCAGCTCCGACTCTTGTGAAGGAGATTCTGGTGGGCCGTTGTTCGCATATGTAAACGAAATTGGTCGGACCGTCCAGTTGGGTGTTATCAGCAAAGGCATTAAAAGCTGTTCAGGCCTAGGATCTTATACGAATGTCACGCACTTTATGGACTGGATTTTAGATGCAGTTGAAAATTATAAAGTTTAAAGTACATAGAGCTGGGCCGATTATCATTAGTAATTAAAATTTTATATGCAACCGAAGAAATACAATGCATTCGTTTTTTTATTAAAAGAACAAAAAATTCTTCCAAGAAGTTTTGTCATCCAGGATGCATTTTGGGGTCCCGATTACATATTTTTGTGTCGAAGCTGGCCACCAGACCGATCCCTTTTTTTTAAGTTATTTTAAATCTAAATTTTGTCATACTAAAATATGATAAAATATGAAAATGCTAATTTTAAACGAACGAAATTTTTAAACGAACATTTAAATTTACTTTAAATAGTGTAGGATTTAATTTTCGTTAAGACTGTTGAATTAAGGAACTTTAAAACTTTATAATCGCATAAAGGGTTTCAAAATATTGAAGACCGACATTCAGATGCATTGTTTTCGGATACTTCTTTTCAAAATTTATCATGAAGTATATTTTATAAAGGAATGTTAAACAGCAATAAAATAAAAATAAACATTTTGAGGGCGCTTAAGAGGCGCTTATTCATTGACTATATGTGTTTGAGTAAAAAAATAACTAAAAAAAAAATACAAAGTTAAAAAAACTGATAAGAATTGTGTATTTCACATTATAAAAAAACAAACGAAGATGGCATGGCTTAACAACAACTGCAGACTTTTCGGACCAACAGCGTTTCGATTCTGATCAATGACATAAAATTATGTCCAAAAAGCTAAAGATGTTAACAAACTATAAAGTTAAATACATTTTGGGTCGTACCAAAGACGTACAATCTATATTGTACAATCTATGTTGTATAATCTGTTAAGTACTAACATTTTTTGATCAATTTTCAACCATTCAGCTGTTAGCATCCCTGGTTTGGGGAATTCCCTAACTATATTGCTGTGAACCTGTTGGTATATTATTCATGTATTGATGCGGTCACACTAGTTGATTGTTGAAGTGTAAAAAAAAAACAAAAACTCTAAACAAACCCAGCAATTTAGCCAATTTAATGCCGTTTCTTTTTAATTTATAAAATACCGCCAAAAACACTTAACAATGAGCAAGTTTGCGAAATTTAATGGCAATGACGAGGACGAAAATGTAATCGAGCAGAAATACGCTCACATATTAGGTGGGTAAAGTTGCGCCCGGCGTATGGTTATTATGGGATTTTTTCTTACCAACGTAGATCTGGAAAATCCATCGGTATTGGACAACAGTTCTGGAAAAGCCATTCGCTGCAAGTGGACAGACGAAGAGGTCGAATTCTTTCTGGGAATTGTACACCAAATGAAACTGCAATCTCCACTGCGAAAAGCACGCAATGAAAAGGTGTTCAAGGTGATATCCAGAGAAATGGGCAAACGCAACTGTCCCAAGACCCCGAAGCAGTTGAGGATCAAGTTCCAACAGTTGAGGAGGCAGTATGTGAGGTGCAGAAGGAGTGGCGGTGAGCCGTTCGAGCACTTCGAGGCAGTCCACGAGTTGCTGCAGGGAAACGGAGCCTCCGATCTGGAGGCGGAACTGGAGAGTGACTCCGATGGGGAGGCCGACGAGGACCAGTCTGTCCAGATTTCGGAAACCGAAGGAGATGGTAAGTGGAACCGCACAAAAAACAAGAAGGACGGCTGTAGTCAAGGTCTTCTATTAAATATTCGTTACTCAGTTAACCTCAGCTTATATCATATCGAAAACATTACAAAAGTTAATAACAAATCGCAACTCGTTTGCAGATGCCTTGGACGCATCCTCTTCGTCGATTAACATAAATGCCCGTTGCAAGTGGACCAAAGGCGAGGTGGACCTTCTCCTAAATCTGATCCACTCCCTGGGTCTGCGGGCTGCTTTGCTGCGAAAGCGCAATGCGAAGGTCTTCAAGCTGCTGGCCAAGGAGATGGCGAAAAGAAACTGCAAAAAGGGTGCGGACAAGCTGCGCATCAAGTTCCAGCTGCTGCGACGGATGTACAACAAGGTGAAGAATGGCACCGGCGAGACCTTCGAGCACTTTGAGGCCATGCGACAGGTCTTGGATCCCACGGAAGAGGAGGCGGCGGCCGCGGAGGCTGAAGCGGAGGCCAATCTGAGTAGCGCCAGTGATAGTGAGGAAGATAGCGATGAGGAAGAGGGTGATGCCTCACATAAAAGCGGAGGTAATAATAACCAAATATATATATATATATATACAATCCGAAATAATCTGAAAACGACACTTATTAATTCAGCTCACTTTTGGACGGACGACGAGGTGGACTCCTTTCTACTCATCATAAGGGCAAATGGCTTCTTTCAAGCATTAGATGGCTCGAGGAAACGTAACTTTCAGACCCTAGCCCATATTTCCAATATCCTGGATAAGCAAGGCATTAAACGCACTCCCCACCAGCTGCGCAATAAGCTGAGATTGCTTTATAAGCGGCATCGAGAGGCCAAGGAACACGGATTGGAGAATGTGCGAATTCTGCCCCGCCACTTCGAGCTATACGATGACCTTGTCCAGGCGCCGCGCGAAAACAAAAAGAGTGTCACTCCAAGGCCCATCCGCCACATTAAAACTGCCTTTGCCAAGCCAGCAAGCAAACCAAACGTTCCGCTGGATAGTGATAGCGAAAACTCCAGCTCTACCTGTGATCTTCTGCGAGCCGCTGCCGACAGCGAGGACTACGAGGATGCACCGGAGATGGAGGTGGAACCAACGCCAATCGAAGCACTCTCTGCCATTATCGAGGGCCAAAAGCAATTGCTGGCTCAGGTCAGAACCGCCAACGAAAGCTTTCTGCGGCAGCAACGCGAACAGCAGCAACAATTTCTGCTGCAAGTTTCCGATCTGATGCGCCGCGATCGAGAGGAGACCTTACGCAGGATCAGCGAAATGCTGCCACCAAAATAATCGAGTCCCAAATCAAGCTTCTAAAACTTTTATTGAATTGAATTCGAAGTTATTGCAAAAAGTTGTCAATTTTTATATGTATTATATGTATGTATTCTATATTCATATCGTGTGTGTGTGGTATTTCTGTGACAGTGTCATGTGTCTAGGGTTCTTTCCTCATCCATTGTGAACAGAAGTTTGGTTGGAGTTACTCACAATTCGCAATTGTCTACGATTTATCTAGGTTTTTGTATAAGTATATACGTAATTTTGAGAGATTTTCTTTGTTATTTGATATGCTACATTTTTTAGTTTTCGTTATTCTTGGGATTAATTTAACAGTTGGATTTATTTTTAGGTTTTAACATTAAGCAGAAATGCTCGTAATCTTTGAGTTTCGTTTTCGTGTTGTTTGTATACACATATGTATATATATTTTGTATATTGTTCGTTTTACAACAACTAAGCAAGCTCGTCAAAACGTGTGTGTTGCATTGAGAAAAAAAAAACTAAATTAGGTTGAGGTAACTAAAACGATGCTGCTGATCTGATCCGATCTGGCTTGATATATCATTTTATTATGTGTATGTTCGTTACGTTACGGCTCAGGCACAAAGTGTAAATTACAAATATCTCTCCGCGTCTCGAAAACCATAGGGCAACACAATCAATCAACGGATTCTCATTTGGTGGTTAATTATTGCATTCATTATTATTACCTAGCGGTGTGTGAGTTGCTTGTATTAATATTATTATTATTATTATTTTCATTTTTATTTGTATTCTTCTTGGAGTTTCTGTGGCTTTGTGTCTCTTGGAGCACGGCTGAAAGCTTGGCTTGACTTGGCTGCTGCTGCTGCTTTATATTTCTCAGTGTGTGGTAACAACAATAACAAGGTGTCTTTTGTGGATTATGTGACTCTGTTCTAACAATCTAGGAGCTGACCGGCTCGGGCAGTGGATTCTCGGTGATGCGTATCTTGTTGCTCTGGGTGCCGTAATACAGGGTGCCCGATGTGTCCGTGGTCACGTAGGCACGGTTGCCGTTTCCGGTTCCGCTGCCGCCGCATCCATTTCCGTTTCCATTCTCCAGATCCAGATCCTCATCGTCGCAGCTACGATTGTTAGCGGCATTGTTATTGTCCCCCTGTCCAGTGGTGGTGCAATTAATGGCCGTTTCCCGGAGCCGATTGCCCACCCGGAGGCTCAGCTGCCGCTGGCGATCCCGCTCCCTTTCCCGCTCGCGTTCGCGCTCCTCCATCGCCTGCTGCTGCTGCTCCCGGAAGTTGGCGAAGAAGATCGACGAGTAGGTGTGGTATTTAGTGCCACAGGGTGAACTCGCTGGCGTGGACAGCGGCGTTGCTGTGGCAGTTTTTTTAAGTGGTTGTTGTTTGGGGGGAAGGTAGTAGTAGTTTGGCTTTTGTTATTTACGTTATGTTACTTAAGAACATGTAAGTTGTTGTTCTTGATGGGTGTTTTTTCTTTATACACTTTCTAAAAGGCTTGCCTGCTGTTTTTGAAATGTACGTGTGGTGTTTGTGTGTGTTTTGCTAAGCTGCGGTCGAAATAAATGTAGCAATTATATAAAAAATCTTGCCAATTAGTTGCAATATGTTTTTTTATTATATGGACCCGACCAAACTAATTTGCAATTAATAAAAAGATCGCAGCCTAGAGTCAAATCTTAGCACTAAAGTTTTTTCTGAAATTAAAAAGATAATCATCTAACTATTTATATGTTTAAATGGTGAGGATATTTGGAAAGTAAGTCTACTTTCTAAGAACTAAATTAAAAATTTATCTTAAATCTCTGAAATTAAAAAGTTAGTCATCTATATATATCTATTTGTTTAAATGGTGAGGTTTGTTTCAAAAGTAGAAAATTGTCTACATTTATATTAAAGTGTAACCTGATATACAAATTTTCTTTTTGTTAAATACTATTCGTAGATTCCAATTTTCGTATTAATAATAAATAATGATTTTTCTTTATTCATCTACTTTGAAAAATACATTGTGGTATTCTGCCCCAAAAAGTATGCAAAGATATTCATTGTTAAAGGAGAACTCCATGGCAGGGCAGTACTCTGTTTTCAATTAAATTTGATTGTTCTAAGCCTATACCTTCGTATTCTTTAAAAATCTGAAAATGTTAATACATGCTTCTTGCTTAATGGAAATAATTTATTAAACCGCAGCTGCAAGTGTTTCTGTTGTGTGTGGGTTGTGCAATTTGTATGATTTGAGATGAAAGCGGCGACAGTCTGCTGCAGCTGTTGTATATATTATAATTATTGTTTGTTGTTGTTGTTCTAGATGATGGACGAGATGGAGGGGGAGGGAAGGAAGCTGGGCTGAGTTTTCGCGATGATCGATGATATCGGTAGTGATCGATTCGATGGCTGCATGGCATGCGGATGTTGATGTGGCGCCACCTGTTGCTGGGATTGAATGTTGCTGCCGTGACGACGATGTTGCTGCTGTGGGAAAGAGACGACGCGACTCCCTCTGGCCAAATACTAGTAAACTAGAGTATCCTGGCTTTGGCCGTACCGTTAAAGTTTGAAATTCACGTTGTTTGTTTATTTGGAATTCGCAAATATACAACAAAAGCTTACACTTTCAGTTTTCGTTTCGTTTTTCGTTTTTTTCGACTTGCGTATGGTTAGTGTATGTAATTTGTATATAATAGCGTTGTCATGTATGTATATTTGTATAGTGTGTATAAACTTATTGCTTTCGTACATTTAAGCTGTGTGGGTGGTGAAAGCAGCCCGACTTTAAAAGGCATGTGAAAAAAGGGTGACACAATAAAAGGTAATTGATGTAAAATACATATAAGCAATGCGTTTATTTATGTAGACAACAAACTAAATCTCTTGCTGCTTTCCACTTATTAGCTTACTAACTAAAATTCGTATTAATTACAAAAAATATTTAAACATAAACAAAAGGGCAACAAAACAATTTCAAAAGAAATCACAGAAGAGGGGAAACCGAAGAAAGATTTTTTTTCCCTTAAAAGCAAAGCTGTAAACCATTTTTGAGTGGTTTTTGTTCTTTTTTTTGTTGTGTGTTTGTTTTGGGTGATTATCCAATTGCTCTCTCCCTCTCACTCTGCCCCACTGAAGTTTGGGGGACTGTGCCAGTGCTGCTTCATCTTCTGCTGCTGCCGCTGCTGTTGCTCTCTCCTTTCGCTCTTTTCACTCTGCCTCCGTTCACTGCACGCTGAGCTCAATTTGCGTGGAACTGCTCCGACTGGCCGTTGAGATTTTGCGCGCCAGCTTTTGCAGTGTGCCAACAGCTTTTGGAGGGTTTTCAAAATTGTTTAATTTTATGGGGTTGTTGTTGTTATTGTTGTTGATGTTGTTGTACATTTTGTATTCAATTTGCGTGTAAATAAAAAAACAAACAAAAGGTCAAAAAAATTAAATAGTTATTCTAAACAAAAGGCGTGTGCAGGAAAGTGTGTGTTTTTGTGGAGGAGAAAATCAAAGAGCGTTGAAAAAGCGAAAGCGCATCAAATGCCTGGATACCGAGGTCGCACTGTACTCCAGAAGCAAATCTACTTGTATGCTGGCGAGAGTATGTCATTTGCACAATTCAGCTCTTTAAATCTTACGGTGTTTATTGTTTATTAATTTGTTTCCCAAAATAGTTATATTATTTCAGTAAAAGGAAATAATTAAATTTAAGACTTCAGTAATACGTAGTATAAATAGTACGTTTTCAAACCACATTTTGGTTATGAATTTAATAAAAATTAAAAGCTGAATTTTTCAATCTATTAAAAACTTATTAAACACCATAAAATATCGAAAGTCTTTCCACTAGCAGTGTGTGTGTGTGTGTGAGTGAATTCGCTTAAGCTCTACTTTGTCTATATATCTGTATTTTCGAATGTTAATTTGAATTATTGTATTAATTAATTAGCTAAATGCATTCCAACTAGATTTCGGGTTTGTTTTGCAATTTTTGTTGGGTAATTTACTGCTGGGTGCTTTGGGTGGCAGATCTTCCTACTGTGGTTTTTCAGACACTACAATCACAGGTGCGTTTTTGTTGGTGTACAAATATACATACCATATATACGATTATTATATTTTGTTTTTGTTGTTGAAATTATAGAGAACGCGCAGTTGCATTAGTTATTTTGTTATTTGTTGTTTTTTTTTTTTTTGAGGAGGGTTAGATAACCAATTTCGAAACGAAAAGAAAATCAGAATTAGAATAGAATTGAATAGAACGGAGGAAGTCGTAGGTGAATGCAGCAGAGACCAAGTCGATGGATTGGATTGCATTGGACATGAAGTCGAATGAAGGTCGCGTGTGCAAGGTTATGAATTTATGGGGGTGCGGTTTTGAAATTTTCGATCGATTGAAGTTGCAATTTCGTGTGGAAGATTTTGTTTGTATATTTTTTTTCATTTGGATTCGTGTTGCGTGTTGTTCGGTTGTTTTTGGTTTAATTTTTTTTTTTTTTTTTTTTTTTTTTCATTTTTTGTATTGTATGTTTGTTTAGCAAAAACAAGCAGTTTTGGAGAAAGGAAAAAGAAATGAAAAACAAAGTAATGAACATCTTGAAATATCTTTTCTTGTTTTGTTGTTGTCGTGGATGCGAAATTGTCTGTATCTTTTTGGGTCCTAACTATTTGGGAAAAAGGGGTTGGAAGTGGATAAATATGTTTGTAGAAAGTAAACGCTTGATTTTCAACAACTTTTCGATTTTTATTTTGAAATACTTTGTTTGCGTACAAATACTTGGGTTTATCAACATAAGTATGAATAATTTTCAATATCAATTTAAGTTTATTTTTTGTATAATTAACCAATTTATAAATATAAAATTTTGAACAATAGTTTTTTGGTTTCGTTTCATTGCATCTCAAAAAGCTTTTGATTCTCAAAGATTCTCATATTAGGCTAATATCAGGTTGGGTCAGGATCGATGTGTTTTTTTGTGTGTGCGTGTGTCTCTAAAGAGAAAAACAGGGGCTAGACTAGTGGCATCATTTGAAGGGAAACTGAACTGAACTGAACTGAATCTATAGAGGGTATATCTTGCTTCGATCGGAAGGGACTTCTAGATGAAGCTGCTCGACTGCGAGCCGT